TGAGCAGCCCCCCAGGGCGGGGCCTCCGTCCCTGCTCAGGCACCCCCTCACCACCTGACACCCACAGCAACAGTGGGGGTAGGGGGCAGAGTCACCCGCAGTCTCAGTGAAATAAGCCAGGCACGAAAGGACAAAGATTGCAAGATTCCATTTTTTGAGGGACTTAGCACCTTAGCACATTTCACAGAAAAAAATCACAACCCAAACCCAAGTTTGGGGTTGTAAAACCAAATCAGTAGAAACATGAGGAGGTTGAAAGGAAATATTCTTCAGGCATCTTTCAGACACTATCTGCGCTTAAGCCATCCCATGTCCAACACCGGCCATTACAGCTTTTTATTTTTATTTATGATTTTATATTTCATTTCATTTATTTATTTTTGAGACAGGGTCTTGCTCTGTCACCCAGGCTGGAGTGCAGTGGCACTATCACGGCTCACTGCAGCCTCGACCTACTGGGCTCAAGTCCCACCTCAGCCTCCTGAGTAGATGGGACCACAAGCACACGACACCACGCCCGGCTGATTTTTTTGTTTTAGTTTTTGTAGAGACAGGGTTTCACTATGTTGCTCAGGCTGGTCTCCAACTCCTGGGCTCAAGCAATCCTCCTGTCTCAGTTTCCCAAGTGTTAGGATAACATGTGTGAGCCACCACGCCTGGCCCATCGATGCATTTTATGTAAAATACGCTATTTGTTAGTGATGTTTGATAAGAAAACTGTTAAGACATGATAAATGACAGAAGGAATGATACCCACCGTGTCACTCACAGGAACTCTAATACAAACTTATCATCACCATGAAAAGGAGGAGTTATACACTGAAGGCAAGATGCTCAACATCATTAATTATTAAGGAAACGCAACATCAAAACCACAGTGAGATGCCCCTTCACATCCAGCAGGATGACTGTTATTAAAAAAAGAAAAGAAAAGAAAAAAAAAAGGCCGGGCGCAGTGGCTCACGCCTGTAATCCCAGGACTTTGGGAGGCTGAGGCGGGCAGATTACGAGGTCAGGAGGTTGAGACCATCCTGGCTGACACGGCGAAACTCCGTTTCTACTAAAAACACAAAAAAATTAGCCAGGCGAGGTGGCGGGCGCCTGTAGTCCCAGCTACTCGGGAGGCTGAGGCAGGAGAATGGCATGAACCCGGGAGGCGGAGCTTGCAGTGAGCCGAGATGGCGCCACTGTACTCCAGCCTGGGCGACAAAGCGAGACTCCGTCTCAAAACACACACACACACACACACACACACACACACACACAATAACAAGTGTTTGCAAGAATACGAAGACATTAGATTAGAGCCCTTGTCCATTGCTGTTGGAAGGTAAGGTGGTGCAGCTGCTGTGGGAAGCAGCGGGTGGCAGCCTCTAAAGACCACATGAGAACTCCCTGAAAGAAATGAAAGCAGGAGCTGGACAGGTGCGCTCATCACTCCACGGGCCAAACGCTGGGAATAAGCCGGACGTGAACGTGCAGAGACCGCATGAGGCCATTTTCTGAGGTACTTGGAGCAGTCAAATGCAGAGGTGGGAGGCGGAGTGGTGGCTTCCAGTGGGTGGGGGAGGAGGGGAGCAGGGGTTATTGGGGACAGTTTCAGTTGGGGAAGATACAAACATTCTGGGGATGGATGGGGGCGTCGGCTGCACAACCCCGCAAATGTGTATAATGCCCCTGGGCTGTGCACCTGAAAATGGTCACAGTTATCAACTTCATGTGATAACATATGACACAGCACATATAAACACGAAAGAAAAGGTGGAGTCTTCAAATCCCAGGGCCTGGGCCTTGTCCCTAAAAACCAAGCAGTGTGGGTCCAAGGGTTGGGGCAGGGGCCTCAGGTAGGATTTATTTCCTCCTCCCTGTTTTGATCTCTAGAAGACTCTACCTCCTGTGAAAGGGGAGCATTGAGGAGGTGCCCTCTCTGGGAGGGGCAAGGTGGGTTGTTCCAGTTACTAGTGCCATGCCCTGCAGGCAAGAAGCTGGCTGGTCCAAGACCACCCAGCGGGGGCTCTCTCCCGCTCCCTCCACCCAGGGAGGCTCTGCCCCACTCCCCCCACCCAGCGGGGGCTCCCTCCCTCTCCCCCCACCCAGCGGGGGCTCCCTCCCACTCCCTCCACCCAAGGAGGCTCTCTCCCGTTCCTCCCACCCAGCAGGGGCTCCCTCCCGCTCCCCCCACCCAGCGGGGGTTCAACTCCCACCCAGCCTGACCATCTGGTGCCCCCACTGTGCCCCACCAGACCACGCTTCCCCAAGTGGTGACAACCCAATCCCAGCAGCATGGACAGCAGTGACGCCCACAGGGTGCTCACTCGGGCCACAGCACACCCTGGTCATTGGGCACCTCCAGGGCCAGGGCGCGGTGGGAGCCAGGGTCCGCTGCAGGGACGGTTGCCCGGCCACAGGTGCTGTCTCCTGGGAGGGCAGGGGAACCACTGGTTCAGAACAGCCCAGGACAAGTGAGTCCGCAGTTGCAGACCCACTCCACAGGGCCGTTGCTAGAGCACACGGCTTGTGGACAGATCCCACTTTACAGATGTGGAAACTGAGGCCAGAAAGTATGAGCAGCTGGCCTGGTAAACGCCTACGAGCCGCTTCCCGCTTTCCACCGTCTCTGACCACAGGAGATTCGAGAACCTGGCCAAGGTGCGGGGCTGCTTCATCAGCTGGGACCGCCGCTCAGCCCTCAATACCCCAGGCTCACCTGCTCCTGTGCAAACGTCCAACCTCAGCTCGGAGGGACACTCGAGGGCGGAGACGTCAGGTTCCTCCAGCTCCCCTAACATGTGGGCGGGCGCCTGTGAAACAGTCCCCAGCGTCCACCTGAACAGAATCCGGGAGGACCTGGGAACGCGCATTTTCACCCCTCCCGGCCCCTCTGAGAAACACGGGTTCGGAGCCGCTGGGGTGCAATCTCCCCGGCAGTCAGCAGGTGGCAGCGTCGCACCGAAAACGCCGCCTCTGACGCTCGCTGGGCTGCAGCCCGGAATTGGTGGCGGGTCCTGCAGGGGCCGCAGCAGGGGCCTCCCCCGGGTGCTGTTTCGTGCGCCCCATCCCTTACCCGCTGCCCATCCCTGCCTCCAACCTTCTGAGCCAAGGCCGATCTTTTTGAAGGTTCCTGATTAACTGGGCCTGGGAACTCCCCGCTGGGGAGCTCGGACCTCCCAAAGCCCCGGCCCAGCCCCAGCCCCAGCCCCACGGCGTCAGCGTCTCTGGCTTTAATGAGGACCCTGCTCCAGCCGATGCTTTAAAAGCTACTCTCACCACACTCGTGATGCCAATTACCGCATACCCCTCCGAGGCCTCCCACCAGCGCTGACTGCACCTCCCCTCGGGGGCCCCCGACATGCTCCGGGTCCACAGCTTCCCCTCCTGGCCAACCGCATCCTCCCGCTGCTCCAGCTCCGGGGACCTGTGCAGCCACCTTCCCCCACGGCCCCCACCAGCCCTGCAGTTCAGGCCCAGGAGGAGGCCCCGCAGCCCCGGACGGCACCGGCAGCAGTGCCAGAGTGGCTCTCCGAATGGCCAGGGCGCCTTTCTTCCCGTAAAGACCGAACTCCCCAGTGATTCAAACGCTCCCACAGGCCTGGTCCCGGCCCCACCTGGGCCCCTCACTGCCCTCCCCTGTGCCAGGCCGCCTCTGGCCACCCGAATGCTCCCCGGACCCCGGCCCGTGGCCACAATGACACCCACTCACCCTTCAGACCCAGGCCCAAACACAGCGGCCTCCTCCACACCAGGTCTCTCCAATTCCCGGTCTGCATCAGCCCCGAAGGCGGGGTGGGGCCCCAGGAGAGGGCCTCAGACACACGCTTCGGTCCTCGGGGCCCCTGCGCTCCTGGCCGGCGTGTGCCGGGGGTGAGGCCGGTGCCACAGGACGCGCAGCCAGACAGGCCGCCAGCCCCGCAGAGGCTGCCTCAGGCCCAATCCCCTCCGCCAGGACAACGGCCTGAGTTTCCCACAGCGACTTATCCATGCATCTGTCTCTTCAAACCCCGAACCCGGCAGGGAACCACGGGGCAGGCCGGTCACTGCTGCGTTCCCAGAGCCTTCCAGACAGCACATCCACCCCACACACGTGCAGCGCCCACTCCCCTCCCGGGGCTGCACACACAGCCCCATCTCTGTGGCTCCTCCTGGGGCGGAACCTGGAGAACAGAGAGGGTACGCGGCCCTGCCCAGGTCACACAGAAGGGCCCGACGGGCCGCTCCACCTCGTGCCAAGGCCAGGGTGGCCCAGTCTCCCACCCAAGCGAAGAGCAGAGAAACCATTATCCCTCAGCACACTCTAGCCTCAGCACTTGGCCGGGCCTGCAGGTAGGTTCCCACCTGGGAGAAGCGCTGGGGTCCTCGTCTTCATGTGGGGTTGGAAGAGGACTGAAAAGGCGAGTCCGAGGCTGGCCACATTCCCGTGCATTGTGGTTGGACCCCAGGGGATTGGAGGCTCCGGGAAAGCCCACCAAGCCCCACGCGTTTCACTGATAGATGCCCAGGAAGCGACTGGCAGGGAGGAGGCCGTCCTGCAGCTCACAGAGCCTCCCACCCCACCCCGCCACCCGGGGAGCTCCCGGCCGCGCTGCCCTCCACCTTCCTGCCCTCCCCTGCCTGCAACGCTCGTGGCGTTTTTCAACAGGTTCTAGAAACTCCCTCTTACTCCGCCCCTCAAGCCTGGCCACAGGGCGCCCCGAGTGGGGAGTGCGCGGGCTCCGGGTACACGCTGCGCCGCGGCTGGACTACAGCGCCCACGACCCCGACCCCGACCCGAAGCGGCCCCTCAGCGGGACAGGGTGTTGGCGCTGGTGCTATTGCTGCCCGCCCCCTGCTCTGGCCCCTGCGTGTCGCCGGGAACTCCTGCGCTAGGGTCGGACTCAAAGACTGACCAAGGCGGATGCCCACGTGGGACGCGTGCGTTTGGTGCGGAATCCCCAGGGCGGCCGGAGGTGGCAGCCGGGGCGTGGAGAAGCAAGTACTAACGCTCCAGGACCCCGCCGCCCCGCGCCGCCCCTCTCCAGAGCCTCTACCCCCGGCCTATCAGCCTGCAGCGCTGGTGGAGCCCAGCTCCGGGAAGAGGCGCTCACCCGGTCCCCCCTGATTGGACAGCAGCGAAGTCCCACCGGGCGCCTCCGCGGCTTAAAACCGAAACGGGGGCGAGTGGGCGGTAGAGCCCGCCCCCTGCGCACCGCGGCTGGGAGGGAGAGGAGGTGGGAGAGAAGGAAGAGGCGGAGGAGGCAGCGGGCTCCGAGGCTCTGGGACTCGCAGGCAGGCCGGACCGACGCGCAGAGCCGGGAGCCGCATCGCAGCTGCAGCGGCGGGCTCGGGCGGGCCTCGGGGGTGGTTCGCCCGCATGAGCATCCGCCCACCCGGCGAGCCCCCGAGCCCAGGCGGCGCGGCCATGGCCGAGCTCAAGTCGCTGTCGGGGGACGCGTACCTGGCACTGAGCCACGGCTACGCGGCGGCGGCTGCGGGTCTCGCCTACGGGGCGGCGCGAGGTCCCGAAGCGGCCCACGGCTACGGCGCTCCGGGCCCGGGCGGCGATCTACCAGCGGTGCCCGCACCTGGCGCCCCAGCTCCGGCGGCGGAGAGCAGCGGCGAACAGAGCGGCGACGAGGACGACGCCTTCGAGCAGCGGCGGCGGCGGCGCGGGCCGGGGGGCGCTGGGGACGGACGGCGGCGGCCGCGAGAGCAGCGGTCCCTGCGGCTCAGCATCAACGCGCGCGAGCGGCGGCGCATGCACGACCTAAACGACGCGCTGGACGGGCTGCGGGCAGTCATCCCCTACGCGCACAGCCCGTCGGTGCGCAAGCTCTCCAAGATCGCCACGCTGCTGCTCGCCAAGAACTACATCCTCATGCAGGCGCAGGCTCTGGACGAGATGCGGCGCCTGGTGGCCTTCCTCAACCAGGGCCAGGGCCTGGCTGCGCCCGTGGCCGCCGCGCCCTTGACGCCCTTCGGCCAGGCCACCGTGTGCCCCTTCTCGGCGGGCGCCGCGCTGGGGCCCTGCCCTGACAAGTGCGCCGCCTTCTCCGGGACGCCCTCCGCCCTTTGCAAACACTGTCACGAGAAGCCGTGACCGCGCGGACCCGCGCCCCTCCCGCACGCGTCCTCCGATCTCCCCTGTGACTGTCGCTCTGCCCGGACAGGAAAGGCCTGGAGGGACCCTGCAGACAGGGAGGAGGCGGCCCGACCTCGCTTCCAGCCTGTGTGCGGCGAACCAGTTTGGCGCAGCGGGAAGCGCCAAAGCCGTCGGGACGCAGGACGCTGTGCTCTGCGCCCCGAAACTCGTGGCACCCACTGGGCATTGTCGGGACCCAGCAAGTCTAGGAATGGGGTGGGTACAGCATTCTTCGGGCACTGCCGCTCGCCCCCAAAAGAAGACCACCGCAGCGTCCCAGGGCCGCGGCGAGGACGGGCGCTTGTCAGATTCCGGACAGGAGGTCCTGACCTGAGGCGCACGGAGGGTGGAGACTAAGCAAAGTCGGACTTAGTGGCTCGTGATCCTCTCGCAGTGGGCCTCGCGCTCCCGCTCCAGTCGGCCCTTCGTGCTAAACTGCAGGGCAGCGCTCTGTTCCCGAGGACGCGCGTGGCCGGCACCTCCCACCTCGGTGACTCCGCGACTCCGCAGCCCTGAGGAGAGCCCACGATGGCCGTTTGCAGAGGAGCTGGACCGCGGGCGCAGGAAGACCCCGGGCGAAGAGCTTTTGGCCTTTTCCAAGTAGGAGTTTGTTCTATTTATTTGGGAAGTGGACATCGGCGCCGGCTGCCTCGAAGTCTGCGGGATTTGTCCCCTAAACGTCCCCTGGCCTCCCGCACCGCTGCCATCCCCTGCCCGGGACGTCCGCGCGGTGGAGTTGGATGGAGAGCGCCTTGCGGGCCCTCTGCCTCGGAGGGCTGCGTGGAGGAGGGGTCGTAACAGCCCGCGCCCTACTTAACCCTGGACGGTCAGGGGAGGGCCCCATCGTCTAGCCCTGGTGTCCAGCAAAGCCCCCTCCCCACCGATCCCCTCGCGCTTCGGAGGGAGGAGGCCGGGCTACGGGTGAGTAAGCTGCTGCGGGCCCCGCGCCCCCCGGATGCGAACGGAGATGCGCTGCGCAGCTCCCGGCTCTGCCACCATCGGGGTCCAGGGAGCCGGGCAGGGCGCCCCCGGGGACCCAGCTGTCCGCGCCTGTTTGCGGCCGCGCGCGCCGCAGTATCCGGCTTTATTAACCCAATTTCCTCGGCTGTCGGTAATGCCAAGGGGAGAGGGCCGCCGCCCTGCAACGCGCCTGTCTACAGCGTTTAACTTTAATTAATACATTCCAGAGGGCCTTCTGTACTTGTAAAATGAAGTGTACGGTTAAGTCTTATTCATAAAGACATATGCCTAATACTGGTTTCTGCTAATTTCCACTTTTATTTCATTGTCTTTTTCCCCTCCCCCGCAACGGACTAGTTTATCAGTTTTGCACATTCGAAAAGCTGAGTGCCAGACAACGTTTTTCCCCTTTTAGATAAAGTGGGAAAGCTGGAAACTCAAAAGTCATTCGCTTCTAGGACATTTCAACGTGATCTTAAATAAATTACCTGCTTATCAGAATTCGAAACAGGGGTATTTATTCTGGTTAAAATCAGAGACATTGGTACGTCATTTATATTCAGAGTAAAGCATTTTATTTCCATTTATTTTATAAAAATAATATGGTTAAATTTTAATATCAAGTGAAATAGTGTTCATTTGTAGCTGAATTCACCATAATTTCATTTTTCAGAGAATTGTGTCCACTCTAAACCAGAGTCTGAAGAGTCTCTGAGATGCTAAAACTGATCCAAAAGCAACCACTTATTATAGCAAATGTGTGAAATCATAAGGAAAAGGGCAAAGGAAAAAAAATTTCTCTTTCCCTCTTTGGGTGGAGAATAAGTTTATGAAAGAACCACTTCACTAATCAAAAATTATTCTGATAATTTAAATAAAAATTCAAGTTACATTTAAACTTTTCTGTACATGACAAAGCTGTTTTTCTACTGTTCTAGAAAGTCTGCATGCTTCTCACTTGGCCTGAGCGGAGAGTAGCGTTTCAGAGAAGAATTAGCTCGCCTTCTCTGTGGTGGCTGCTCGTGAAGCCACCTGGGCTATCTCGGTGCCGTTTGGCCTTTCTCAGGTTTGCCCAAGGATCTTCTCATTCCAAGACAGCCCTCCACAGCCCGTGTGCCCACATCTGGCACACAGCAAAATAGAACCCACGCGGGTACCTGTGCAAGCCTGTGGCTCCCGAGAAATGTGGGGGTCTGCTCGTCTTTTCTCTGACGGCTGTGCTCCTGCAGGTGTGTTGAGAATGGCTGGGGATCACCCAGAAAGAACTTCACCATCACCACCCACCAGGAGCCACCCTTCCCCCAACACTCAGGGAAGAATCGAATATGAAGGAGCTTTTCAAGACACTCACCCTGTTTTTGTTTTGTTTTGTTTTGTTTTTAAGACAGAGTTTCGCTCCATCACGGAGACTGGAGTGCAGTGGCACAATCTTGGCTTGGCTCACTGCAGCCTCTGCCTCCCAGGTTCAAGTGATTCTCCTGCCTCAGCCTCCCTAGTAGGTGGAACTAGAGATGTGTGCCACCATGCCTGGCTAATTTTTGTATTTTTTCGTAGAGATGGGGCTTCACCATGTTGGCCAGGCTGGTCTTGAACTCCTGACCTCAAGTGGTCTGCCTGCCTCGGCCTCCCAAGTAAGTGCTGGGGTTATAGGCTGAGCCACCAGGTCTGGCTAAGATGCTTACCTTTAGATTCCTCCTAGATGGAGATGTGCAGACTGTGGGAGGCGGAAGTCCACGTCCACAGAACCGAGGTATTCACACACGCAGGCTGTGGGAGGTGGGAGGCCAGGTCCCCAGAACCAAGGTGTTCACACCACCCCCTGTGACCAGTGTTGCTGTACGTAGAGAATGTGGTCGTGTGTAGAATTTTACATTTTCAAGTGGCCATATTAAAAAAGGAAATAGAAGCAGGTGAAATTATTTTTATTGATAACTTAAACTTATCCCAACACATCCAAAATACAATGTCAGTGTGTCATCAGTATTTAAAATTATTCAATGTTTTACTTTCTTGGCACTAAGTCTTCAAGTTCCAGCATGCGTTTTGCCCTTAAAGCCCAGCTCTGTTCATACCAGCCATGTTTCAATGCATTTCAATGTTCAGTGATCACGCGTGGTTTGGCAGCCTCGGGTTTTGCAGCTCTCGGCTGTGAAAATGCCAAGCATACAAAGTGCTCCTTGCTTCTTTCTCTGTTTAATAATAACCGGGAAATGCCATGGACTCAGGGAGTCCATTCTAGAACTGGGCAAATAGGAAATGCCCCAACCTTGTTTTTCTTCCAATCCTGATTCACCGAGCCTTTCTCCAAAGTACGGACTGGGGCTGGGGCTGGGGCACGGGCTGGCAGCAGGAAAGGCAGAGGCTGTACCCCCTGAGTCACTGGGTCCACACGCCCCTCCAGCCTCACACATGCCAACCACACCCAAGCCTAGGAAACAGGAGACAGCAGATTATAAGGCGAACTCCCCAAAGTCAGTCCAGTGTGGTGACTGCCTCGGGTCCTCCAGCCCCGCCAAGGGGTTTGTCTGGGAGCCATGCTGCCTTCTTCCTCCTGTACACAGGGTAAAGGTATGGGCCCTGCTGGCTGCTGCTTGAGCGACTCACAGAATTTTTTTTTTTTTTTTTTTTTTGAGACGGAGTCTCACTCTGTTGCCCAGGCTGAACTGCAGTGATGTGATCTCTGCTCACTGCAACCTCTGCCTCCTGGGGTCAAGCTATTCTTCTGCTTCACCTCCCGAGTAACTGAGATTCTAGACGAGTGCCACCACGCTTGGCTAATTTGTGTGTTTTTAGTAGAGGCATCATTTTGCCATGTTGCCCAGGCTGGTCTTGAAGTCCTGACCTCAAGTGATCCACCTGCCTCAGCCTCCCAAGTGCTGGGATTACAGGCGTGAGCCACCACCTGGCCAAGACCCATTCTCTTGATGGCTTGGCCTCTCTTTGGAAAGGGGTCCTTTTGTGAAGCCTAGTTTGTGGAAGCTTGGGACAGGCTTCTCCGAGCCCAGTGGCTCTGTAAGAGTCCCTCGCTGGGGTCAGGAGACGCAGATTGCCTGACTAGGTCCCACTCGTGTCTTCATGCACTGATGGCCATGCCTGCTCCCTTGCTCCCCAGGGACTCTCCAGCTTGCTGGGTAAAAATAGAGGGCCCAGCAGGTGAAAAAACAAACAAGGGGTTCACAGGGCCTCTCCTTTTCTCATTTCTTAAAGAGACAGACGCTTCTCCTGCGTTTCCACACGTTTGGATGCCTCGTGGTCAGCATACCTCAGACAAGGCAGCCCTTAAAAAGCAGTTTCCTGCCTGAAACCAAGTGCCCTGGACTTGGCCACCTCCTGGGTGAGGCACCGTGGCCCAGCACTCTTGGTTCCAATGGCGCCCAGCGTGTTACAAAGAGCTTTGCTTCCCCCAGTTAAGAAATTCACTCACCTGAAACTGCATCCCTGGTTTTCAGTCACAGGCAATTGGCCTCGTATCTCAGGACAGAACTGCCCCAGCTCCAGCTCCACCCTAGGGCCTGTCTGGTGCCACTGGGTCCATCCAACCCACAGAAGTTCATGCACAGACCCTGGTCAACCAGGCACGCTGGCTTCCAACAGCTTCCTTTAGCTGATAATTTCATCCCAACGATGGGATTTTTTAGACTCGTTGGGGAACTTTGTTTTACCTTCTGGTTAAGCCAATGACCAGCCGCTTGCTTTACAGACGCTTACGTTACCAAATGCGCATGTCTGTTTCCCTTGCAGGATGGGGACATGAGAAGAGGCACCTCTTCGTAAAGGACAAACACCGTTCTCCTGAAAGGATGGGTGAAATGCACAAACGGTCCCTGACCCCAAAGCCACTCTGGCTTCCCCATCGCTCTCCGAAGACCTCCTGTTGGAACCAGCCGCCAGAGGCTCCTCAACCCTGGTTAATCCAGCAGAGTGATTACAGCAATTTTCTAATGTGAATTTGCTTGTGATATGTTTTTAGTCTTTAATCGCTTTTGGCATCCCATTTGAAGAGATGGAAATAGAGGGATTTGTGATGTATTAAATTATTTCTCCAACAATTACCTCTTTGAACTCATAACCCTGGATACTGTGTTCCAATACTCCAACCAAAGTCTGTTTCATAAAAT